ATGAGCTGCTGTGGGAACTCCCTGGTGGGCTAGTGCTGTAGTCTTCAGGGGAGCACCCTTGGGCCCTAAAGCCCCCTCCCTGACTCTCCCAGCAATTTAGAAGGTGGCAGTCCCCCCCGTAAGTCCCTTCTAATATCCAGAGCGATGCGTCTCTCCTGCCCTGGGTCCCAGCCGACACACATGCTTGGAGCAAAAGGGAGTACATCTGAGGTGAAGGTTCTCATCGCTCACAGGGCCAAATGCCATCCCTCCATCCGTCCATCTGTCTGTCTGTCCCGTCCCCACGTTCAAGTCCAGCATTAGAGGCGCCATCCTCTCCTCTTTATTTTTTTTTTTTGAGTTGGAGTCTCACTCTGTCGCCCAGACTGGAGTGCAGTGGCCGCTCCCAGACACCGCAGCCTCAGCCTGCTGGGCTCCGGCGATCCTTCCACCTCAGTCTTCCGAGTAGCCGGAATTACAGGCATGCGCTACCACACCCGGCTGATTTTTTTTTTATTTATTGTAGAGATGAGGTCTCGCTGCCCAGGCGGGTCCCGAACCTGTGGACTCAGGCAATCCACTCACCTCAGCCTCCCAAAGGCGCGGGATGACAGGCTGAGCCACCGAGCCCGGCTCCCATCCTCTCCTCACTCCTCCCCCTGGTATAAGAGGCCCTGTCCCCCTCTATCTCCCCTCCCAGTGTTAGAGGCCACGTTCCCTCCCCATGTCCCCACCCAATGTTAGGGGAACTGTCCCCCCTCCATGGCCCCACCCATTGCTAGCAGACCCATCCCCTCCCCGACATCCCTGCCCACTGCCACGACAGCACTGTCTATCTTTCCTTTAACATGGATAAATGCAGACACTGCTCTACCTAGGGCTGGAGGATTGTGGGATTTTTTTTCTCTCTCTTGTCTTATGTGATCATCTTTATCACTCAGAAGTTGTTAAAAAAGTAAACATACGTTCTGACCCATTCTTTAAGCTCCTGTTTAAAAACTCCTCCTCCAGGAAGTCTTTCCTTGTGCCCACCCAAAAGTGTCTTCTCTCTCCTACTAAGTTTCTAAAAGGCCATCCTGGGCTCAGATCACTTTCTCACAGTGCCAAGAAGCAGAAGAGGTTCTTGATGGGGAGCAAGATAAGATAAAGTTAAATTAAATTTAAAAGTGAGTCTAACTATGTTTTAGAAGTGCCTAGGGTGCTGCCACCGAGCAGATCTGTGGCCCGAGCTGAGGGAAAACAGGCTGGTCGGTTTCATGTCAGTGGTCCCCAGGGAGCTGGCGTGGACAGGCCTGCCGGTTCTTAGGTCCAGTGGATCCCAGGAAATGCTGATGAGGACCTCGCCTGGAGGGCTGTCTAGGGTCCAGGTGAGGTCGCCCCAGAGCACCCCAAGCTATAAGGATGCAGAACAGGAAGCAATTAAAAGTGGAGGGACAGGGTGTGTGCGGTGGGTGGACGGTCTACTAGTGGCGGGGCAGCCTCTGAGCAGAAGAGCAAGGGAGGGAAGGGGCGGGCGTTGGCTTCGCAAAGATCTCTCAACCCTGGTGGACGGAGTTTTGAGTCCACCTTGCTGACTCTGGTCAATGGCACGAATGGCCGGGACGTATCCCAGGTCACAGCCGACTCACCAAAGCTATCTGTGTGGTTTGCTCTGGCCCGGAGCCTCTGCCCCTGTCATGAGACAGCACCTTCCCAGAGAAGAGTTGGGTGGGGACCAGACCTCTCCGACAGCCAGGAGTCACGTCCAGCCAGTCCCAGCAAAGCCCAGCAGAGCCCGCAACCCCAGAGTCATGCTCATGGCTGTCAGCCCAGAGTCTGGGGCTGTGCGCCGCCCAGTGTCACTGCAGCGGACACCTGTTTAACACACCAGATTTGCCAGACCTGAACGCTGGTGTTGGGCCCCCACGCCGCCCTGCTTCCTGGGAATTACACAGCTTTGAAAAACGCTACTACCCCAAAACGAAAACCCCATTGTCCTTGTTACTAATTTCCTCAAATTCCTCGTTCCTTTCACAACTGCAACTAAGCTCCTTTTCTTTCCTTATAGTCACAGAAAAGAACCAAGGCAAACAACCAAGATTTCAGCTCCATTAATTTTTCAGGGCACCATAAATTAAAGAGCAATTGCAACGCAGTCAATTTCTGCGAGAAAATAAGTCTCCGTGATTGTGCTTTAGTCTAATTACATGGAAGGCTAAGTAGCACTATTAATACCCAGAAGCGCACTCTGTCCCCGAGGAAGGCGCCAGGGGCAAAGAGGCAGCCCGCGAGGCCAGGGAAATGCAAGGGTGCCCGTCAGACCTTGGCAAGGATGCCAGGTCCCATCGAGAACCAGGGCTCCGTCCAGTCAGGAATCTCCCCTGGGAAGTTGCTGGCCTGAGTGATTCCTGGTAGAGATATATCACTCATTCACTCATTTAACCAACTGCCACCCATCCATCCATCCATCCATCCATCTGTCCATTTGTCTGTCTGTCCGTCCGTCCGTCCATCCATCCATTCATCCATCTGTCCAATTTCCATCCGTCAGTGGGTGCATCCTTCTGTCTATCCATCCTACCTACCCATCCATCCGTCCATCTGTCTGCCGTCAACCTATCCACCCGTTCTTCTGTCCATCCATCCCAGCTACCCATCCGTCCATCTGTCCATCCGTCCATCCCATCCACCCTCCCATCCATCCATCATCTGTCCTCCTGTCCATCCATCCCCATCCACCCATCCTTCCATCCATCCATCCCACCTACCCACTCACCCATCCACCCATCCATCTGTCCCTCTGTCCATCTGCCCATCCACTTACACACTCATCCGTCCTCAATCCGTCCATTCAACCAATATTTTCAGTGAGGCACTTGAGATTAAAGTGGTGGGGGGAATAAACGGACACTGCCCCACCCTTAAAGAGCTTATCCCAAATGTGTATGTTGGGTACGGACAACAGTCAAATAAACACAAACGCCTAGTTGCAAGTGCGATCAGTGGGAAAGAGAAACACAGGAATCTGGAAGAGTGTGGGAGAGTGGGACCCTGGCTGGCCTGGGTGGCAGAAGGAAGGCTCCTGAGTTGGGAACTCTCTGTCTCTCCAGCCCTTTCTGCCATTCTCTGTCCCTGGGGGCTGACCTTGTAGACAGAACCACTCTTGTCTAGCCCTGGGGGCCGACTTATATAGACAGAGCCACCCTTCTCTGGCCCTAGGGGCTGACCTGTGTAGACAGATCCAGGCTGCCCTGGCACTGAGAACTGACCTGCATAGACAGAGCCACCTTTCCCTGGCCCCAGGGGCTGACCTGCGCAGACAGAGCCACCTTTCTCTGTCTCTAGGGGCTGTCCTGTGTGGACAGAACCACTCTTCTCTAGCCCTGGGGGCTGACTTGTATAGACAGAGCCAGCTTTCTCTGACCCTGGGCACCGTCCTGTATAGACAGAGCCACCGTCCTCTGGCCCTGGGCCTGGCCTGTGCAGACGTGCCCACAGACTCCCTCCCTCTGCTTGCACCAGCCAGGCAAGGCAGCAGCAGGCTGGGGGTGGCAGGAGCGGGGTTGGGTGTCCCTCCTGGGTTCCCTGATGGTTGGCCACCATCTGGCAGGGCTCAGTAGCTCTCCTAGGGCGAGGCATCCTGTAGGGACCTCCCTGCACCTGTGGGGCCATGCCTCAGGCTGGGCGGAGGTGGGAGGCTCATTGTGGACCCCAAATGATATCCATGCCCTGATCCTTAGGACCCATGACCTCAGGTGGGCAAAGAGGACTCTGTGGGTGTGGCTGCTGAGGTCTTTAGATGGAGGATTATCCCGGATTACCTGGGGGGGAGCCCTAAATGCCTGCACGGGAATCCTTGTGAAAGGGAGGGGCGGAAGGAGATTTCACACACATACATGCATGCACAAACACATGCACATTTGTGCACATACACACGCATGCACACGTGCTTGCCTCTATATGCACACACACACACGAACACACATGTATGCTCATACACGCATGCACACCTGCATGCACACGCACACACATGCACACCTGCACACACACAAGTATACGCACTCACACATATGTACACAAGAGACAACATGAAGACGGAGCAGAGAGAGATCTGAAGTTGCCACCCTCGAGCATGAGGGGACAGCCCATGCCAGGGGCTGTGGCAGCAGCAGCCAGGACCTGGAGGAGGCCAGGCCAGACTCCTCCCTGCAGACCATGAGGGAGCACGGCCCACCAGACCCTGGCCTTGGCCCGGCGAAGTTAACTGTGGGCTTGTGGCCCCTGGACATGTGTGCGCCTGTGGTTCCAGGCCTCCATCTGGGGTCAGATTTCACAGCGGCTGCAGGAACCAGCAGCACCTCCTGCAGGGGACTGGCGCTGGGCCAAGCCCCCTCCCTGGGCCACCAGGCCCCCCCGGGCGACCCCTGCCGGTGCTGCCGGGCCACCTGACCACGCCCCTCACACACTGGCTGGGGCTGCCCACACCCTGTCAGAGTTCTCCATGGCTCTCTCCTCATTCTCGGTTTCCTGCCAGTCCGGTGGAGGACACTGCTTCCAGAGGAGGGGAAGCTGATTTGGCGTCCGAAGGACGGCTGCCTGCTGTTGGTGGACGTGGAAGAGGGGTCCAGGCTGAGGGAAGGGCCTGGTGAGCTCTGTTGAGTGCAGGGAATGTTCCGGAAGACCCTTGTGGCTGGTGTGCGGAGAGTGGAGCGACCCTAGGAGCTGCCTCTCACCCACGGACCCATCTCGGCGCCCTGTGCCGAGGGCGCCTCCCGTCCACCTCACTCCATCCCTGACATAGCCAAGTGGGTGCAGCTCCCAACGGCCGGCCCACGGACCACACGTGGGCTCCAAGGAGGAGGCCGTTGTGGGGTCCTGCGCCCCCAGCCCGGGACCCTGGGCCTCCTGGGCCAGCCAGGCCTCCCAGGTCCCCCGTGCCGAAAGAAGGCTCCTTTCCTCACGAGTTGAGCCTCGTCCGGTGGGCGCGGCCCTGGGCTGAGCAGACCCCGGCCCCACAGGGCAGTGTGCGGCCCCGGCCCTACCTTGCTCTCCTTGGTGTAGGCCAGGACCTTGTCCTCCTCCTTGGGGTGGAAAATCAGCGTTTCCACGAAGAAGGGGATGAGCTGCTTCTGGAAGGTGGCGCCCTCGTCTGTGCTGAGGAACAGGCTCTGGTCGCGGTCACTGAGCGAGGAGCTCACCAGGATGATCTGAAACACAAGGGGGGACACGGGAGGAACGTGAGGCCTCGGCGGCCCTGGCAGGCGGGCGACATCTCCCTCTTCACACAAAGGGGATGCAGCAGAAATGGCAGGTCCACCCTCTCCCTGGCCGGCTCAGCACTGACCACAGCCATCCATCCATCCTGCCAGCCACCATCCATCCACCCGTCCATCCACCCATCTATCCACCATCCGCCATCCATCCACCATCCATTCACCCATCCATCCGCCTATCCATAAACCACCCATCCATCCAACAACCATCCACCAATCCATCCACCATCCATCCACCCATCCTTCCACCATCCACCCATCCATCCACCATCCATTCACCCATCCATCCACCCACCCATCCATCCACCATCCATTCACCCACCATCCATCCACCCATCCATCCACCACCCACCCATCCATCCACCGTCCATCCACCCATCCTTCCACCATCCACCCATCCATCCACCACCATCCACCCATCCATCCGCCTATCCATAAACCACCCATCCATCCAACAACCATCCACCAATCCATCCACCATCCATCTACCCATCCTTCCACCATCCATCCACCATCCATCCACCCATCCATCCACCATCCATTCACCCACCATCCATCCACCCATCTATCCACCATCCACCCATCCTTCCACCATCCACCCATCCTTCCACCATCCACCCATCCATCCACCATCCATTCACCCATCCATCCACCCACCTATCCATCCACCCAACTATCCACCATCCACCCATCCATCCACCACCCACCCATCCATCCACCATCCCTCCACCCATCCATCCACCATCCACCCACCCATCCATCCGCCGTCCATCCATCCGCCATCCACCCCTTTGTGGCGGGCCCGGGTGTCATTGCCATTCCGAATGCTGAAGCTGAACCGTATAAGGCTCAACCGTATGAGGCTCACAGTCTCTGTCATCAATGTCAACCTGCTCTGGAGGGAGCTGAGACAAGCAAGCATGGCAGCAATCGTGTTTGAAATCCTGTTTTGGGGATGACAGAGTCCTGGAGGACAGAGCAGGATGAGGGGTGACGGGGCGGAGGGTGACTGGGCAGGGCGCTGCCTTCGGAGAAAGAGGACAAATGCCACACCAGGTGGGGAGACACGGGGACACAGGGCAGGCCAAGGGGCTGCCGTGAGGGCACTGAGAGGGCAGGGAGAAGGGCTAGAGAAGCAGACGAAAGCCAGGTCTGCAGGGCCAGGGGGTGACTGCAGTGGGGTGTGTGGCACCCCCAAAAGAGACCTTCCCATCCCAATGCCCCGTACCTGTGGTGGAAATAGCGTCTTTGGAGACGTAGCTAAGGATCTTAGGATGAGGCCACCCTGGACTTGAGACCATCCTAAATTCAATGACTGGTGTCCTTACAAGAGGGGAGGGTGGAGGCTCAAGAGAAGGAGGTAGCATGAAAGCGGGGCAGAGAGCAGGGACACATCCACAAGCCACCAGCGCCATAAAATGCCCCAAGGACCAGAATGGGAGGAGGCGCAGAAGCCCCAGAAGAAACCAGCTCTGCTGACGCCCCGGACCCTCAGCCTCTAGAACATCCTGGACTCTCAGCCCCCAGAAGGCCTTGGGTACCAGCCTCTAGAACCCCTTTGGCCCCCCGAGCCCCGTGGACTCCCAGCCTCCAGGGCCGCCCAGGAAGCACCCAGCAGTCTCTTGTTCTGCGTGGAAGGAGGTGGCAGGGCGGAGGCAGGCAGCTTGGTGTGGGTTTTCACAGCATCCACGGGCTGCTGCAGAGATGGCCGCCGAGGGCTGGCTTTACTCCGCACCAGGGAAGCCACTGCACCACGCCGTGTGGCCGCGTCCCGCCCAGGAGCCCAGCCCACCTCCTCTCTGCATGTGGCCACCGTCGTAGCCTCTTGTCTATCCCACCGAGTCCACCGCACCAATAGCACAGGGCTCCAAGGACGTCCCCTCTGTCTCCCAGAAAGGCCAGGAGAGGAGGGTCAAGGTCACGCCCTCTTGGCCCTGCTGTCCCCACCACGGAGGAAGGGGTGCTTCCAAGCTGCAGCCAAGGGGAGCCTGAGGTGCGTCCCTTGTGGGCCAAGAGAGTCAGCGAGCCTGGTCAGCCGGCAGGTGCAGGCGGGTCCCGGAGGCACTTGGTTCAAGCGCCCTCTGTGGCATGAATGGGGAGGCCAGGGAGAGGACTGGCCCCTCGGCTAGCTGGACGCTGGTGTGCATGCCTCTACCCTCTCCCCACGCAGGACGTTGGTGTCCACTTGCAGAAACACATGCCTTGTGAAGCCCTTCAAGGCTCCTCACAGCCCCGGGGAGAAATCCGATATCTTTAGATAACTCCTTAGCCCATTCCAAGACTGGCCTCCCTTCTGGTCTCCCTGCCTCCAATTTGTGCTGCGGTTCCCAGCCATGTCCTTGGATGTGGTCCCCAACCATATCCTCGGGCCAGGTTGAGCTCCCTGCTACAAGGCCACCAGGGAGCCCACCCACCACATTTCAGGAAGGGGCTTCTTCTGTTGGGACAGTGAGCACTGCTAGGACAGCAATCATGTCGGGTTCAGCCACGGCTGTTCGTCCCTTCACCTCCATCCCTGCAGGACCTGGAGTCTGCTTCAGACGTTCATTCCTCCATTCGTTGAACGGGGGAATGAACGAATGAATGAACACCGTGTGCTTGCAGAGTAGGGGCCAGGAGCGCCCACTCATCCTCCAGGTGATCTGGTTCAAATCCCACGTCTGTGTAACGTTAGGTGGGCTCACTCACCATTGTGCCTCCATTTCCTTGTCTGTAAAATGGGGGCAAGATTGAATCCTTTCGCACTGGTGCTGAGTTTCTTATGAGCAAGACTAGGTTGACCTCACAGAACTATAGGAGGGGAGTCTTGTTATACCATTATTATTTCTACCTGCTAGATGGGGAAACTGAGGCACAGGGCGGTCACACGGCCGGTCAGGATGGAGACAAGGTGAGGACCTGAGCGTTGGACCCTGGAGCCCTGCTCTCAGCCACACCCTAGGGTGAGTCCATGCAAGACCGGGTGTGTTCACTGGTTCGGGTGCAGGCTGGGGCTGGACCAGCCCCCTCCAAGGAGCACGGCTTTCCTGGAAAGGGCGGGGACAGTGGCCTTCCCAGACCCCGAGCTATCTCTGGAAGGCAATTAAGCGCACAGAGCAAAAATCAATAGACTGCACAGAGTGCCTGCCTTTAAGTGAACAAATGATCACCATCACATGTTTTCTTCCTTCCCGGGGGAAGCCTTAATGAACCTTCCAGGCGCCTCAATTAATCTCCTCTCGCACAAAACCCTCCTCTCCCCAGCTGACAGGGGCTCTGAAGAGGACTGATGCCGCATCCATTGAGACTGGTTCCTCGCACGACTTTGGGCCCTGACATGGGGACACAGAGACACAGGCTCAGAGCTGTTCCTCCCGGTATGGTTTATTCAGGAACAATGAGGGGGAACTGTGGCCTGGTCGGGGCGGCATCGATTTTAGAAGAATATTTGCAAAGAACGCAGGCCGAGCAGGGAGCGCGTGTGCACGTGACCCACAGCGGGGTGCCGAATTCTGAGGACGTGCACGCGACACATGTGCACCGACAAGCCCTCAAGCACATGGGCCACAACAAGTAAGGAGGTGCAGGTGTGTGAGAGGGCTAGCATAATGCGGTCGTGGGAAGCGCCCAGGCGCAAGGAGGGAAGGGACACCAGTGACTGATCTCAGGTGGTGGAGTCGGAAGGAATTCCGTTTTGTGTCTTATGTGAGCTTTTGATTTCAGAGCAGTTTCAGATTTGCAGAAAAGGTGCAGAGAGAGCCCAGAGAGCTCCCACAACCTCACTCTCAGTGCCTCCTGTCATTCACGCCTCACATTAGCAGGGGACATGTGTCACAGCAAAGAAGCCAATGGCAGCACGCTTGTGGTACCTAAACACCACACTTTGTTCAGATTTTGCCCGTCTTCTCTTCTGCCCCAGCAGCCCACCCGGGATGCAGCGTGACAATCTTAGGCAGTGACAGTGTTCAGCATTCCCAGGCCTTCGATGACCTTGGTGGCTTTGAGCGGGACTGGCCGCGTATTGTGCCGTGTGCCTCTCCATGTGGGCTTATCTTCCATGCTTCTGGCTGGACCGGGGTTACCGTGGACTCAGGGGAAGACGACAGGGGCGAGGTGCCGTCCCCCACACGTCGTATCGGGGCACCTTTTGTCAACAGACTCGCCCCTGCTGATGGGGTCCTTCCCCAGCTGGGGTCATGTGTCAGGATTCTCCGCTGTGGAGCTGTCTTTCTCCGCCCTTCCACGCTGTCCTCTCTCCAGGAAGTTGTACGTGCAGCCCATGGCAGAGGGGTGGGGGACGCCCCCCCTTTCCTGAGGCCGGGGCCACCCACGAGCTCTCTGGAATTCTCTTGCACGGGACCGTTTTCTCTGTTCCCCCATTATTTACTTATTCGATCGTGTCTTTATTCACTGTGAGTGCACGTGTATTTATTTTATACTTGGAGCTGTAACTCGATGCTACTCTGGTATCTGCTGCTCAGATGGCTCAGGCTCTGGCGCTGGGGAGCCCCTCAGCTCAGCCCGCATCCTTTGATGTGTCTCCGCCGTCCTCCTCCCTCTAAACTGTCTACACTGCCAGTGGGTTCCCGGGATAGCCAGGAGGAAGGAAACAAGCCCCCCAGACGTCTCACCCAGTTCGTTCAACATCCACTCAGCACCTGCGGGCCTGGCTCCAGGCTCCAACCCGGGGCGTGGCCCCCACACCTGGCTGCATCTGGACCGTCGGGACAGGGAGTCCAGGTTCCCTGCCCCCACTGGCCCACGGGGCCATGGCGGGACCTCTCGTGACCAGCACAGGCCTGGCGTGGAGTGACTGACTGCATAGCCAACGAGCGAGCCAACAGTTCTATCTCAGCTTGTGGCGCCCAGGGGAATGGTTCGCTTTGCTTTCTCCTTTGGGAGAAAAACATCTCTATGAATGCTGAAGCAGCCCGGAGAGCAAAATTCATTACACA